ACATTACGTGACCTAAAGGGCATGTATTTACAGAGGTGAAACAGGTTGTTGAGGTCACTTACTAGATCAGTAAGCAGAGCTGGTAATCTGGAAAGTGTTAACTCCTCTGTTTTGTACCCCGCCTTTTCAGTCTACAGCCTTTCCGGTCCCCACCAGATAGCTGAAATCGCCGTTTGTCTTTGAAACCCCCTTTTAAAATTGACAGAAAACACATATCTTCTGATTCTGAATCTCTCTTCTCACTGTTTGGCAGACTCTTTTCTGTCTGTCTCCCACTGCTCATACTAGACTTACTCATTGAAGTCTTATTTAGCTATTTTGATTATTGCAACTTCATACTTCTCCTTTAAGCTTGGACTCTGTCTCATTTTGGTGGTACTCTGAGCCTCTCCAAAGCCCAGAACCTATTATGGTTTGTCCCCTGCAGCAGACAAATGCATTTACTGTCGGCATTCAGTATACACATACCTTTTTCTACTAAAAAGTGGAGCCAGCTCATTTATAAGTTAAAGACTAGGGCATGTAGTGATAGGACGAGGGGGAATGGCTTTAAACTGGAAGAGGGCAGGTTTAGATTCAACCTCAGGAAGAAGTTTTTCACTTTGAGGGTGGTAAGGCACTGGAACAGGTTGCCCAGAGAGGGTGTTGAGACCCCATCCCTGGAGGTGTTCAAGGCCAGGCTGGATGTGGCCTTGGGCAACCTGGTCTAGTGGGAGGTGTCCCTGCCTATGGCAGGGGGGTTGGAACTCTGTGATCTTCAAGGTCCTTTCCAACCTAAACCATTCTATAATTCTGTGATTCTATGACCTGCAGTGTATTCTGCTCCATGCAACAAGCAACCGTGTTGTCAATTAAGGGAGAGAAAACCCTACATATATTTTAGTTCCATTTAAAAGTAAGAAAATTACAATTAGAGTTTAGATCTCATGTCGTTTCTCTGTGGCATCATACATGACTTTTCTGGCCCTATATTTAGCCATTACTGATTATATTTACATGCTAATTCATTTAATAAAATTAAACATAATGAAAAAGGTAAAAATGAAGATATTTACCTGGATTCAATGGTACAATGATCTTGTTTAAATCTTGCCCAATCCTGTTATATTTATTAGTACATAGCATTATCATAACCCTCAAGACTGAAATCCCATCAATAATAACAAGTTAAGCAATGAGATAAGGAAGGAAATCTTGCTCTCATTAATGCTTCATGACTCTTTATGTTGCTAGCCAATTTAACAACATTCCTAAACCCCACAATATTTCATTGTAGAGTATTTAAGGGAGGGCACACTACTGATAGAAGAATACACTGGTTTGGAATTTACAAAAGAAGAACAAAAAGAGATAGATTTGCTTAAACAGGAGCAGAAAAAACTGATGAAAACTGAACAAATTCCTCTAAGTGACAGTGTAAAAGAGAACAATCGGGAGGAAGATACAGTGGAAGACTATGAAAAAGAAGAAAAAACGCCAGATGAACAGCTAAATAACAGTGAGAAGGCAAGGAGTAAATGTGTAACTCCGGGTCCAAGAAACCTAACACCGATTAGGCTGAAAAAAAAATACGTATTCTCAGAAGCCACTGAGAATTTGCACCATGGGCTTCCTACATCAGGTACAAAATCCAAAAAAGGCAGTCTTTGCAACCATAGACATGCAGGTCAGGACTGCAGTGAAACAGCTGAATCAAAAGTGGAAAATTCCTTTGGGCTATATGAACCATCTTTTGGTAAAGTTACCAAAACAAGGCAGAAGGACAGTTCCACTGAAGCGGAATGCTGCGCTCATATGACATTCGCTGAAAGGAAAAACAGTCTTATGAAAGAACTCTTTGGACCAGGCTGTGTTTGAAGAGACAGACATTCAAGTTCTAACATGAGAGGAATGAAGAAAGAGAAGTGAAAGGATGCAAGATTACACAAGCCAAATTTCAAACAGCCACTACTAGTTCATAATGTAAAGCATCTAACCCTAATGAAATCGTTATGAATAACCTCATGAGAATACACAAAGTAGTTATTTTATTTGATATTTAGTTAGTTACATCAACTTATCTTTAGAAATATGGATCATTTAAAACATTTTTTAAAAAAAAAATGGTTTTACCTTCATTAAATGTATATTAAATCTTACAAATGCTATGAACTTCTTTCAATGATTTTTCAAAAATGATAGTCAAATCAGTTGTCACAAAAGATCATTCTTTTGTTCTTGGTCCGTGGCACGCACGTGCATGTATATGCATCCTGGTAAGAGTGCCTTAACAATTACAACATTTTTACCTGTTATCAGGTGTCCGAGTTAGTCTTTGTTTTGTCATTTCCCATTTTCTGCATTCTCTCTGCATTTTGAATTTTGAAGCTGATTACTTGTTAGCTAGCAGAAGCGAGCAATCTGCTTTCAAAAGGTTCATTATTGGGTTAGTACCAACAATGCAATAAAAAAAAAAAGTTTTTTATTTTCTTCACTCCTGAAATAGCTTCCAGAATTCACCCATAATAAAAATAATTTGCTATTACATTGTTTTCACTAGCATTATAAAGCTCTAAAGCTTCATTCTTTTCCACTGTTAGAACTTATCAAAGCAGTTTGCCTGGTAACTTCCACAGCTGACATCCAAAGATGAATGCGCAAGAGTAAACTATTGTTTTGGAGAAGTCAGGCATATCCAGTTCTCAAAAAGCCTTTAAAAATCCTGTGTTTAAGGTTATGTAAACGAGGGTAGGAGGATTAAGTTTTGTTCCTCATAGTAATTCATGAAATGTTTGCTAAAATGTGAAGTTCGGGAAAATTATGTGTATTGTATTAAATTTAAAAAGCAGTAGCATTTAAAAAAAATTATACCGCAAAAGCTTTTAAAGGTGATTAAGATATTTAGATCTGAACCTACGTGCGGCGTATTTCTTTTCAAAATTTTCAATGTTTTTCTTGAAGTAGTGCTTAGGAATGACTCTGCAGTTAGAAGAGCCGTTGTTTCTCCTCTGTGAACTGTTAATACTTCTACAATGCCCTTACTGCTGCCCCCAAGTTAAGACCAAACAAGCACATGTAATCCAACACTCCTCTTTGTACTTACTAGGTGACCAAAAGCCTTTTTGCCCTTACTCATCAAATGTTTGACTAGAGCAGCAAACAAACTGTGTATTTGATTGCCCCATGCTAAGTGCGGATAAACCGCAAATGCCACTGTGAAGATTTTAAATGATGCTGCTTTTCTTGACTTCCCTGTGTTAAACTCTGTAACGAGCTAAGTAGAAATATCATTAGCCACATCTTTAAATTCAGAAATATGTCAATGTCATAGTTAAATAATTTGCCCCAAATGTTTTAAAAAATAATAATAAAAAAAAATAGGCCTGTTGAATCCAACAGTATCTCCTTATGCAAGAACATGGTGGGGGGTGTTGTTGGTTTGGGTTTTGGTGGTTGTTGTTTTTTTTTTTTTTTAAACATTGAAAAATGGATTAGAAAACCTGAGATGGGTTGAAAAGCTTTATTTCATTAATAAAAACATGATTATACATAACATTCAATCACAACATTTTTTTCTTGATGATACTTAATGCATCCATTTTCATGTTGGCTAAATGTAATGCTTAATATAAAACCATTTTTTTAAATTAATACTAAAAAAACCCAGTATTTCATGCATATATACACACAACGTATCATGACCTTTTGAATTAATTTCTAAAGGCAGTGCTAGTTATGGAGGGGCCCTAGCTCCTTCCTTCATTCCTGCAGGAAGGCAAAGGACCTGAAGTAACACAACAAATGCATTCCACTGTACAGATTGGGAAGCGGAACCAGAATCACCAAAGCCCAGCAGAAGAGGGAAAGGTATCCCTTACAGCTTTGTTCAGGCTCATGTCAAAAAAAAAAAAAAAAAAAAGAAGGCGTGGAACACAAACTTTTTAAGCCCACCCACTTGCCGTATGGGGTAGCAACAAGAGGGTTGCAGATGCCACTGTAGCACAGAAGATAACACAACTTTGCCACTGTTCTACAGGCACGGTACTAGGAAGAACTCTGTCCACCTTTAAATCCAAAATATTGTGGCCGTTTCCTGTACTTAAATACAGCAAGAATGATTTACGCCAAAACAGAAAATTGTTTTCTCTCCTCCTCCTGCTTGCTACCATTCTGTTACTACTTTAGACATTTAAATCACTAATTTGCCTTTTTACATTTACATAGCTGTTTTGGGCTATCTAGGACTGTCATTACTGTATGCTAAAGCTCTAGGAATGTAGTTCTCCAAAGGAACAGCAGTATCTTCTACTTCCTCTTTCTTAACATGGAGCTTGAGAAGGATGGCCAGACCTTTCCTCCCAAAACATGGACGGAAATAGTTTCAGTGATCCTCACTCAGTTTGGGAAGCAGAAAAAATGTCAAGGAAGGAAAGGTCAGTTATCAATAAAAGCAGGAAAAAAATCAAGTGTTCAATGAATTTTAAAAGTCGGGAAGGAAAAAGTACCCAGCCATCCTGTATTTGGCAACTGAGTCTCTTAAAAGATTGATTCTGCATATATAGCAATAATGCATTTTCTAAGACAGCCCAAGAATAGACCAATTCTAGTGTAAAAAAATTACAAGGAAAAAACTAATTTTGTTTTACCCTAAGCCAATCAAAACACCTACCTCTATCCTCTAGTACCACAGTCACCAAATATAATCCCACCTTTGGGTGAAACTGCCATATTATACAGCAAAGAAAGAGCAAAGGCCACAAATTTATTCCTAATGCCAGTGCATTTCCAACTTAAAAATACAAATCCAACACTTTTTAAATTTTGGTGACTATGCCATGACAAAGTCCTATGGTTCTGCCCTGAATCAGTGTTTGTACTTGTCAAAATCGACACAAAATGAGGTTCTGCAAACAGCAATGCTAGTCTTTGAAATTGACCACCAAACTGAAAAACAAACTAAGGAAAGATAAAATAAATCAAAAGGAATACTGACTGATACCCAAATGAAGTAACAAAGATTATCTCAGACCTAGTCTCATGAAAGATAACTGTTCTTCTTTTTGGTTTTATTCATTTAAAACAGTGATAATGAAAATGTAGTTGAAGACTCCATGTATTACTGGGATTCCTTCAGCTGAAAGGGTGTAGCATGATAGCTACAACTTTATTACAAACCACAAGCCAACATGTAATTCCAACACCACCTGAAAGAGAGATAAAACACGATTTAAGTCATTGCATCAATAACCCTGAAGCACACAAGCATCTGAAAACAACTTTGGAAGTGTAAAAAATGTGCAGTATGTGTAACCCACAGCTAAAAACACTTGCTACGTGCCTAACAGAAAATATCTAAGGTGCTGAAGTTAAAGGCTTGGCAAGTAACAGAATACTTTGATAGAATCTAAATGCAAGATTTGAGAGAGGTAAAAAGTAAATTCCTCCAAAATTTAAATCAGTCTTTTTAAAAGTATTAAATCCATACTTCTCTCTCCCTGCTCCCCATACTGAGACCTTCGCTACTGACCCAGATGCCTTGCACTTCTCTTTTAAAGGGTCCTGTCGTTCCAACTAGCAGCACAGAAATTTGTGTTGGTAGGATGGAAGAGGGTGCGCGCAACTGCAATACACAGCACATCCATATTGCAGACTACGTAGACTCATACTACATAGTATCGTGGAATACATAGCTGTTTCATATCACACACGTGAAGAAACTACCTTTTTGGTGATTTTTAGACATTTTTGCGTTTATCACCTAGTATTCAAAGGAGATGTCCACAGTAAAGTGATTATCAGCCAAGACAAAGAAGGAGATTTGAAGGCAGACATGGATGTGAACCTTTTTAAATCCCTTCAAATGCTGTTTAAATAAATGTCTTCCAAGGCCTATTCCCCCACCCTGCACAGAAGCAGACTCGACTCTTGTCCAGTAAGCATGCTGGATACAAATCATTCTCTAGACAGCAATGAAAGATACAACAACATACAATTCCAACAACATATTTTGGAATTCCTTCTAAGGCAGTTGGGACTTACAAGCCTAACATGAAGATTCACCAGCAGCATTTTAGCTTGATGGTAAATTTCCACATATTATCCTGTCATTCTGCCTGCCTACTTACCCTGTTAGCATAAAGCCAGCATGCTTTTCACTCAGAAACAGGTATCTACAAACCTGTGATGTCCTTCTGATCATTAATTCACTAAACTGCCTAAAAGGAAAAGGATTTAGGTAGGTAAAGATGCAACGATGTGATGGGGAAAAGGGTGGAAACAGACAAGGCAAAATGCCAAGAGAGAGCATACCCAAATCATTCTGGAGTTACGCTACTATGAAACCCCAGCAGTTTATAAGAAACACAGGTAAGTGATACAGACCTATGAACTATTCCCCCATTTTTAAACCCAATGCCACTATTCAGTGGACACCTTAATATAAAAGTATTTCTGATTTGAAATCTCCAGGCTCAATTCCATATTAAGATAAAGCTGCCCTGTTTGAGAAGATATAAAAATGACAAATAGCCCATTTCATTGAATACAAACAGCTAATCAAATGTTTGAAATTCCTCCCTGTGCTAAGAGAGTTAGGAGAAATGTACAGTGCTTTTAATCCATGTATGCTCTTTGTCACAACATTGTTAGCACACACATGGGCTTGGGAAATGTATTTTTTCCACTGTACAGTGCTTACCTGCCACCCCTGTAGGAAAGGCTACCAGGCGCTCCAGCGGAGCAAGCCATTTGCTTGGAAGAACTGTAACTGGCTCAGAATAGTACTTCCAAATCAGAGAGATCATCAAGGCAGCCTAGAATTGAAATTTTTATTAGCTTGGATACACACCAAAGTACTCCTTTAAAATAGCAGCAGAACTGTAAATCATAAATTCTAATTAAAGAAAATAGTTTCCTTATTATTTTACATTGTTCTTAAGCAAGTTCAAAATATTTTTAAACTTAGTATAACCTTAACTTTATACACAATACTAAGAGCTAACAGTGAGACGTTGGAAAATCCTGCTTTCTTTTGAGACCCTGGTTCAGGTCTAGCATACACAAAAATATTAACAGTAACTGTTCATTTCTGATGACTGTTTTTAGCCATAATCTTTGCTCGCTAGGAATCCAACTAGCTTTAACATTACCCTAAAGATATCTTCAGGTTGACCACTGTCATCCTTATGAGCAGACAATTCTTTGACATCAAGTCCGGACTACAGAGACAATCTGATGAGGCACTGTGGTGAAATGTGTGGTAGCTGTAAGTGGAGATTTGCATCCTCATCAAAAGCATATTTTGTTTTCAAAAACATAAGCAAAATATATTTACAGGTATCAGAACTTTCCTGGGTCCAGTGTCATATGTAAATGAAAAAAAAAACCAAACCAGTGATGACAACGCTAAGACAAACTCCTATCTTGTCATCTCAAAACCAGAAACACAGAGCTAAAATGAAACTCCAAACTCCTTCCATCTACAACTACCAGACTTTATCAGCAACATCTCTCCCTTCTGTTTCAAGAAACTCTTTCAGTTTGGCATGCACTGTGTCGCTGGAATGTCAAACACCTCTGAGACTAACCACCAGCCAACAGATGCAGGAGAGAATTGTAACACTAGTGAGGATTTGTTTTAGTAATCTGCATTCATAATAAAATATTTACTTACTTGTAAGATGTAGAATACAATATTTATAACCCACTTTATTTTGGCTAATTGGGCAGTTCGTGCTTTCACTGTTAAAAGAAAAAAAGTATTACTCTGCATTATTTATAATAGTGAATTATACTTACATAAACCTAGTAATTTATTAATATTTCACTCTTGAGATCAGGACATTATACTGTTTAAAAATCACTTTTCAGATGACTCATAGCTATATTCAAACTACCCTTCTGTACTTTGTGTCTGTATCACACTGTAGTTTCTTATTAATGCTACTATGAAAAGTTGCAAAACACTGGTATCCTAGACTAAGAAATGTCACATGTAATCAAGAACACTATTCCCAAATAAGAACAGTCGCTGTGGTTACAAATTTAAGAACCTGCTTCAGATGAAGCACAAACTAAGTATTTCCCTTTCCTAAAAGGAGCTTTAGCAGATGCACTTTTTGCCCTATTTCATTCAGGAACACAGTTAAGACTATTCCTTCACTGAATGAATCTTGGTCAGGTTCAATATTAAAACTTCTCATGCCTATTTTTCTGCTGTTACTGTACCTCAGACCAATATAAAGAAGCCCAGTGAAGACAGCACACCTTCAAACATAACAGTGGCCTGAAGTTCTCTAAAACAATATTGTTGCTTGCTAAGTGAACTACTTAAGTCTAGTTTAACTGAAATTATTGGGTTAAGAATGCTACTACTGAAAGCAATCAAAACCTGCCAGTTACAAATATTGTCCTTTCTCCAAGCATGGAGCCTATGAACATCCATTAATTCTGCACAGAAGAGGCAGACAAAGCGAGTATTCTCCTACCCTATTAGGATCAGTTAGTGAGTTTGCACGAAGACAAGAGCAAAAGCTCTGGTGCCAAAGGTTTACCTGTACTTACTACCATAAGATGATGGATTATACTACTATAAAATCCTAATTGAGACAAAGCACTACAGCTTTATCGCGAAAGCTGCTGCATAAGGTCAAATAGGATTGCAAAAGGACAGGAAAGGTCTCATCTGTTGATCTTATAGATCAATGTTTTCTCTCTAGCATTTTGTAATACACCAACCAAATAGCCCCAGCCAAGCAATGCGTCCTTTTTGCAGTGAAGATGCGCAGCCTTACTGTGTTACTTCTGTTATTAATGGCAATGGACTTCCTCAACTTACTCAAAACATGATTCAGTTATGAGCATCACTGAGAAAGCGTAAATAATTACACAATGAAGCCCAGGAAATTCCTTGTAAGAAAAAAAATATATCTAAATCACTCCCTTATCGGTGTATGCAGAACTATGTACAACTGAAAGACAAAAGCAAGCTCTACAAAACAATTTAAAGGGAAAAAAAAAGGAAGAAAAAAAGAAGGGAACACTGGGAACAGATAAAAGGGGAAGGAAAAAAGTTGAAGGAGAAATATACTTAAAATTGAAAACATTATTGGTAAAATGTTTTTCAGAAACTAGAAAAGGGAGTAAACATTGCACTTTACCATGAGTTTTAAGCTTGTCAGTCATTTTGTTAATCTTTCTTTCTAGACGGGCATATCTAGCAAACTCATCCATCATACTAATGGTTGAGAGTTCTTGCTTCATGTTCTGAATTTCAGCTCTCATTTGGGACTCCTGCTCTGCATCCTTTTGTAACAATCTGGATATCTAAGAAGTAAAAAAACAGTTATTTATCCAGAATTCCACTGATTTTCTTTAACAGGTATGAAGTATGATCTCCTGGTCACATACTCAAAAGCCTCCCATTTAAAAAAAAAGGCCTTTTTATCAAGACACAGGAAAACATTGGCTTAACGTCTACAACATGTTCTAAAAGCCAAAGATTTTTTACTTTCTTGTTCTGACTGAGAAGCAAATCAAAAAGGCTTGAAGAAAATTGTTCCCGCAGAGCAGTGATTTTCAACCTTTCTACTGTGGTTAAATGCCTTTTTCTTTATTTCTGCTTTATTTCATCTCATCTCCCCACTCTCAATGACGCTGCCTTCTGAGACCTTCCAAACCTGCCTGCCACTGCATCCTGAGCCAAGCTGCTGTCCTCCCTCCTTGCAATTCTCATCGCCCACTGCTTGGATAACAAGTACCTGATACATGCAGTAGAGGAAGGACCTGGGAAGCGCTCCTTTTCCATCACCCCTCTTTCCTGCCCCAGCAATGCCCCTTACTCATTCATCATTTCCAGCTCCAGCAGCCTCAGCAAGGGTCTAAACTAATTAATGTGGAAACTTTATTCACTGAAGCCAAACTTTAGACCTCACCAGTAAAGCGTGGCTCATCAATTGGGAATCACTCCTCTAGATTACAGACCGCCTGGTCCAGGCTGTTAGAAATATGCAAATTGCCATACTGGCCAAGTGCTGTGATCCATCCAGTGCAGTATCTTACCACTGCCTCAAAACCAGAAATACATATTTGCATTAGTTATTTTTCTTGCATCATATCCATGCGTTTAAATGCGGTATTCTTGAAACATGTTATTGGTTTCTTGGCTAAAATTACTTCTTACTGACAGAAGGTAAAAGGTTAATCACACATTGTGTTAGCAAGCATTTTCTCCCCTTCTTTTACTTTCTTTTCATGAGGCACCACCTGCTTGTTGGTTCATGAACTCATTTTACCTTCGAAATGAAGATGCAAAGAACACAGAATCTTTTTCTTGCTGTTCCTCAGCAAATCTTTGTAGCTTCCTCAAAACACATGTACTTTTTTCCCCACAAATGATTTCTCAGTACTGTAGTCAATCAGAACATTACACTACTTTGTCACGAAAGCAGAAAGTTGAGCAGAGATTTTCATTAGTCATCTATAGGAACACAGAGTTCAGCTTCCCAAGTTGCTACGAACAATTTACGTTTTAAAGGGGTTTTATAAATCATTGAACCGTATGCATTGATCTGTGTGAGTGTGAAGTTATTTACATGAAAGAACAGAATGGAAGGTGATTTAGCATGCTTGCTCACATGTAAGCTTTTTTTGCAGCCACAGAGTTTATTGGTTATAGAATGGTTAGAGTTGGAAGGGACCTTAAACATCACCTACTTCCAACCCCCCTGCCATGGGCAGGGGCACCTCCCACTAGACCAGGTTGCTCAAAGCCCCATCCAGCCTGGCCTCAAATACGCACGGGGCATCCACAGCTTCTCTGGACAGTTTATTCCAGTTCCTTACCACCCTCAGAGTGAAAAATTTCTTCCTAATATCTCATCTAAATCTACCCTCTTGGTCCACGCTTCCACAGAAACAATTAAGCTCAGGCTGGGGGGCATCCCGATTAGCGATTGTGACTTAAAGGTTTTCTCCTGCGAAGCTTAACTCCTTGATCTCTGTGGCCGCTGCTCTCCATTCTCAGGAGCAGAGATGTCCCTTTGTGGGAAAAGTGGAAGGCCGAGCCAAGCTGCCCTTCGTATTCACCCCCTGCGACGCCCCGAGGGCTGCAGCCCCCGCAGCACCGTTTAAGAGGCCGATAACTCATTCCCCAAAACGTCGCCTCAAACACCTGCTTAACGGAGGCCGCTGCAGTCACAGCGTCACCCTGTCACCATCACGGCCTTCGCTTTCACCGCCTCCCGTTCTTCCCAGTATCGGTCCCTCCGAAGGCCCTGCCGGTCACATCTACGGGGTGCGTTACGGCCGCGGCCGGGCACCGGCAGCCCCTCCACCTCACCC